CCACATGACAAACAAATATTCCATAGTCAAACATGACAAACAAATAGACAGCCCTGGCAAATCTTCCATGTCATGGGTACAGTAGTAGGTATTTATGTTAATTCTTTAATAATATCAGAGTATTTATTTCTTATAATTGTCATAATCATACCTTGCTTATATATTCTGTTATTACTGCTACTTATGTATATTCTCATTGATATATAAAGATATTACCTTGTAAATAGGGCATGAACAAGCATGAAATTTAAGAGACCGTGAGAGGCTAGTAAAACTACCCTATTCAGCACAAAACTCATAAATAAGACTAAGAGAGAAGCCGCTTGCTTTTGCTCTCACTCGCTCAGTAATAGCCTCACAGATCTGCGTCAGTGCAAATAGTGAACTATAGTATATTCATATTATTAAAGTGGAGGAATATAAGTGTATTTCATTATCCATTCTGCCATATGCATTTATTCCAGGTGCATTTGATTCATCCTTGAATAAGTAAGTAAAAATAAGTAAGAAAGTATTGCCATACTGACGTGATCAAAGTCCTATCACATGAAAAAGTAACTCCTCTATATTAATTTACTTAGTAATCATGATCTATATAAGAAAATAGGGGTTAAACTATTCTGTCTTGGGAAATAAAAATAAATCTTGGTTAACAAAAATAAATATTAAAATGAAGTCTTTGTATATATGACCGTACTTATTTTTATGGATGAACGAGAACACCACTTACTTCAGATTGCCCATGTTGGGCATTGCGCTTCCAGGGATTATCACAACGTCTCAAGGACGGTGGCGAATCACTCCCATTACCGATGGTCATACTGGGACCCTCCGGCATTTTACCTGAAAGAGGAGAATGCTCTATGAATCTGTGAGGGTATAAATGATACATCAAAATTACTGTATGTACTTGGTATGTATGAACTATTTGTTAAGGTCTTGACAAAGTTCAATATACGATGAAAAGGAAAAGGTATAAATGAATTTCTTTATTTCTAATCTAATTACCCATACTGGGTTATGGTAATTCTCTGACAATCCACAATAGCCTTTTATGTTCCTACAGTTACTTCCAAACCCCTGAAATCCTCAATTAGCCTTTCTCGATCCCTGAACCAGCAAATTTCAACCTTATGCTGGCCAATTTCCTAAAAATGCCCACTTGTTTTCAACTGGACTGAGTAAATCTAGAACCCTCAGTGTCAGAGCTGATGAATTTATCTCTCTCTCTCAAGAGCATTGGTTCTCAAAATGGGCGGTGGAAAGCTCTGGGTGGGCACTGAGGCAAAAGGAGGCAGTAGGATGGCAATAGGGGCAGTCGAGAAATAACTTTTCGTTATAAATGAATTGGTTTCATGAATTATGTTTTATTTGTGAAATACATCTTTGTGTTTAATCTCGTTTTCAATTTGAAGCATAACAAAATAAAAAAAGGTATGATATGATAGGGGGGTGGGGGCACTAGGCATCCACCCGGAAGCCAAGGAGGTGCCAGACTGGAAAAGTTTGGGAGCCATTGCTCTAGAGAATACTAACTCGAAGATGACTGGCTAAGCCTCCGGGCAACCATACCCAATCAGCTGTTGGCAACAAGTGTGAAGCTTGAGTTTCCTTCTTACTTTTCTTGATGTTTCATGATCATGAAGACATAATTGTCACTAATGTCAAAATAATAGAATAATGATTTACAAAAATTTGAGACATGATGAATTAGTAACATAACTGCAAAACGAAATTAGAGACAGCTGCAAAACTAACTCTGCCACAGGATTACAAAATTGCATATATATTCTTGTAGCAATTATATAGAAAAATTATATGGAACTTTAATTAGGGTTCAAGAAATGCAAATGACTCTTGGATATGACTCTACAATGTCAAATGAAAGTAAACAGGTGTGGGCTTTTAAAGGTTGTGACCTTCTTCCTGTAAAGACCATATAAAGGTTACTAGATCATTAGTACAGGCAATAGCATCTGCCCTAAGAAGTTTCTACAGCAAAATCTGATGTCATACATTTCAGCTAGTAACTACATACCAGAGAATATATATATATATACACATAAAAAGAAATTCATCTATCTATTTCTCTATCTATCTAGCAAATCCCTTTTCATTAACTTTACATAGCTCTGTAATTATTAAAGGTTACTTTACAGAGAACTTTTATTAAATAGTCTTGCAGAAGATGAAGCAACAATCAACAATCTAAAGAGAAGGTTGCACATCTTGATAAGAAAGCTAACTTTCCTCAAAGCTTAGCACTAAGATTATATTAATGGTGGTGTAATATAGATGCAATTATTTAACATTATATATCAGATAAACTGAGTTATCATACTAGTTCAAGAGTTTAAGTTAGCCAGTTTTTCAGGTGTTGACAATAAAATATATAAGTAGAAAGTATTTTTTTTTCAATTTCTGCAACTTTGGAACACTTGCAATATCTGAGAATATTATATCAAGTGGATTTCTGAAAATCCAAAAATATATATACTGCTTTAAAAATTAAGCTAACATGAATGTGACATATCTATATTATTAGTTTTCTTTATCAATTCTCCTCCTACAATGCTAGTGTCTACACAATATTCATGCAATTTTGAAATATTTTTAAATTATATTTATTGTTGTTTCTTGTTAAAGGTTTCAGTATTTAGATAAAAAAAAACAAGATATCAAGCCTACTTCTAAACTTCTTCAGTCCATTTATACTTTAAAACCATAAACATTAAGATTTCCACAAAATATAAATCTGAAAATTAGAATCTGTCATAAACACTATTAACCTTTCCATGCTCATTTGTGGATATGAGAACAAGCAATTAAATGCTTTATCCACCCTGTCCTCTCCCCCATACACTTGTCCTCTATCCCCCCCTCCCCCAACCTCAGCCATGTCTGCGCCAGCCTCTGCAAGTTGCCAGCTGGACGAGAACTCCTCAAACATCATTATCTTTTATTTGGTGCACTTTCTGTCTTTGAATCAACCATAGCCTGGAGCAAATTCGAAACTTTGTGGCATACCATCCAATATGTTGTGTGCTTTACCGTTTTCACAGCACAGTTTTCCCTTTCTCATTTGTTGACCATGCAAGGTTGTCAAAGGGCCTGTTTACCGTGCAGCGTGGGTTGGCCTAAGCATGGATCACTTTCCGAACTGAACAATATAAAGATTTATTGATTAAACTGAACATGACAATCCATTCTGATAATGCAGAAATAACGTATCAATAATCTATCATCCATCATAAATGTTACACAATGCAAATCAATAGTTGTGCAACAAGGAACTACACATTTTAGAAAAACACAGAAAATTTATCTGTGCAAGTTACAACTTTCGAACATAACTTGCCCACGCAAATAAGAAGATTTCCAGTCTGAACCCTCCAAAATACATCAAAATGTCCACAGCTATAATATGTTGTCACCCACCACACATGCCATAGCAACCAGGAGGTAATATGTTACAAAAAACCTTGGTATTTAGGTGTTAAATACAGTTAATCCCCACTAACACCACCAATGCAACTAATCACGAAAAAGACACACAAAATACAAATTTACCTCTAGACAGAAAACACATGTAGTTTGTCCTCAACACATCATAAAACTAAGTCCTCCTGTTAAAAGCTCCTTACCATGTCTCTTCCCATTGCACCAGAATGTTCAATATCAGGTCCATTGCTACATATTGTGCAATCAATCTCTACAAATCTCATTCTCCTAATAGCAATCCACGAGCCTTCAGTTAAGAATACAAGGAGACACTACCGTACTTATAATCCAGGTGATACTCCCAATCAACATAAAACTAAATTAATACGTGAAATACCTGACTTGAAACACGTAATGCAACACAGAACCTGGAATTCCTCTCTCAAAAAAACACCCCTTTTCTCCCTCCCTCTCATATACCAGCCTCGTGTATTTTCACACCCTTATGGCATTAAACCCTCTGCGTTCCTTAGACATGAAAGACATCGCCGGTGATTTTACCAATAAGCTGCTTTCCACCCGGGAAATGAGCGGAGGCGATTCCTGTGGCTGGAGATTCTTGTTTGTTTACAATGGAGAGACAGAAGATGGGAAATAAACGGGCCTCTCTCTCGGGGGCGTTTTTCTCTCCGCGGTTTGTCGGGGTCTTCGTGGGGAGGGGGTGGCATTGCACACACGAGAGGATATATATGCATATGTATGTATGTATGTGTGTATGTATATGTATAATATATACTTATATACATATGTACATATATACATACATACACACATACAGACACACACGCACATATATATGTATGTGTGTGTGTATGTATATATATATATATATATATATATATATATATATATATATATATATATATATATATATATATATATATATATATATATATGTATATATATATATATTTATTGATTGATATATATATGTGTATATATAAATACATATATGTGAATATATTTATATAGATATATTATAGACACACAGATATATATCTATATATATATTATATAAATATATACATACATATATACAAATATATATACATACATATATATATATATATATATATATATATATATATATATATATATATATAATATATATATATATATATATATATATATATATATATATATATATATAATATAATTTGTATATATGTATGTATACACTCACACACACACATATATACATGTTTATAATGTATATAAATATATATGTATGTGTGTGTTTATAATATAGATAAATATATATGTATGTGTGTGTGTGTTTGTGTACATATATATATATACATATATATATATATATATATATATATATATATATATATATATATATATATATATACATATGTATGTATATGTGTGTGTCCCTTTGTTAACCCATTGCTGCTGGGGATGGCATGTACAGTACGTACAGTACGTAGAGTCCATGCCATGTCCAGCGCGAGTTCAGTTTACTAAATATATCAACACATAGATGGCACCGCAAGTTTCTTAGTCACCAAGGAGTCAATCACTTGTACTACCGATCTCACTGATTACCGTTTTTCTTGATTTTCGGATTTTTTAAACATATTTCCATTAGTGTTAATGATAATATAATAATCACAATAATAATAACAACATCGGCATTAATAGCATTAGGAAAGAAAAAACTATAACAAAAAAATAACGAATGCCCAAGGAAAGGGGAAATCAAGTTAGTGACTGCTAATTGACTCCTTGGTGACTGAACACGTGGAGCCATCTATGAGTCAACCACTTGTGTATTGTGGGTTTCTTCTTCCATATATCATGGAACAAAAGCTACAGAAGACATTACATTACAACTGACAAAAAAGATTGTATCTACTTCCGTTACTTCTAGTATAATTTTGATCACTGGCGTTTTGATATTCACAGTCATCATCATAACTATCGACATATTATATTTATTTATTTATTCATTTTTACCGTTTTTCAATGTGTATACACCAACCGAAGTTAGAAACTGGGAGGAAAATTCTATCGCCAAATAAAATTCCTGAACTTCCAAAAACGTCAACGCCAATTATTGTTCTTCTGCCTCGCCATATGAACATTTTGATTGATTTGTTATAGTCGCTGTTACCTTGTAGAGCTTTATTGATATTGTTGTTATTATTGGT